GTTCTGACTCCAAATCCCCCGAGAACCGATGCATTTTGGAAAAGACTCTCTTCAGTACTTACTGTTAAGTCCTTGGTTAGGAAAGCATTTTCTTTGGGGAGTCTCTGGATTTTCCCAGGGCCAGTATTTTTACTGATGCACTGTTAGAGAAAAACAGGGATATTATTTGGCTTGCCTATAAGATTTTCATATAAAATTTCTCAAATGAATGTAAACATAAGTGAATATATATGTATATGTGTGTGTGTGTGTGTGTGTGTGTGTGTATATATATATATATATATATATTTTTTTTTTTTTTTTTGCAAAGCAGAGGGGAGTGCACTGAGGGTATTCACTGATTCATTTGTTAACAAGTATTCAAGTATTCAACGTTCACCACTACCGGCCAGGGACTGGAGACAGAGGTGAGTGAGGCCGGATCCCTGCTCTCAAGGGGCTCTCAGTCTGTGGGCGGCGGAGGGGGGGGGTGGCAAACACGTACACAGAAGATTATGTGGAAAGTCTGCAGTTGGAGGAGGGGGTGCTGGGAAAAGAGGTGCCTGGCCAGTTGGGGGAGGTGGGAAGGAGGCAGGGAGGGTGCAGAGGAGGAGATCTGAGCTGAATGTTAAAGATGAGCAGGGGGTGGTTGGAGGAAGGCCACACTCACTGTGCTAGCTGGGCTCCAGGTTGACAAGCGGCCTGCCTTGGAGAGGGGAACCCCTCCCCGCCCCAGACCTAGGGCCTCTGGAAGCTGCTAGTAGGTTTGAGGAACCCGACCATGTCAGTACTTTGGGGCAAGTGTCCCAGAAACATTTTAGTGACCCCGTGTGTGATTCGTGTGTGTCTTGTCCCCACAGTGGCCTCTCCTACTTTCTTCCGTGCAGACTGGAGAGAGGCCATCTTGATGGTAAATTTCCCAGCACACACACGGCAAACGCAGATAGTGACTCTGGTTTTAAGGCTCTTCCGTTTGGGGAGCCCCCAGTCTTGCCGGCGCACCCGATTCCATGGCTATACGTCAGGGGGTGAGACAATTTAAGAAATGCCGTCAAATATGGGATGAAACAGCTGTACCTTGACCAAGTCTTCCAGGGTGTGAATGGACTCGTCCACAGCAACCAGGTAGTGAAGCTTGGGCACGTGGTCTATTATGTTTTGAATCACTCTGCCGCCCACCAGGAGAAGCCATCGCCAGAGGGGAGGAAGCAAAAGAGATGTGGTCAAGTAGGGTTCACCGTCCACCGCCGCCATGGGCCAGCCAGCATCTCCCTCCATGGCTAATGTGGTCGGCTGGGGGCGGTGGGAGGGAGGGATGGCAGTCTCTACGGACGGGGAAGCGGGTAAAGTCCAGTGACACTCCCGGGGCTGAAGAGCCGCTGGGAAAGTAGAAAGGCCAGGAGTTGAGGGGCCATCCGTCTGCCTCCAGATTCTCCCGGTGCGCAACAAAGGGCACCTGACGACCAGCAGGACTTCAGTTTGTGAAATCTGCTCACCCAGGGGCTCCTGGGAGTCTCTCAAGTGCTCCGGAGAGGGGGTTTCACAAAGTCAGACACAGATTCAGAGAAGCCGTGGCTGTCTTTGGGGAACTGCGTGGCACTAAGAGGCAGGTCAGGGGCTAAGATTTCCTGCCCTGGGTCAGTCACGTTTGCCAACATCCTCGGCCCGCCTCTGGGCGAAGACTGTGCCGTGGGCTTTCTGGGTGTTCCCTCCCTGACTTCTCACAAGTCTACCAGGCGGGTACCGTTGCTGTCCCCATCTTATTATTTTTTCTTTTTTTTTTGTTTTTTGTTTTTTAACGTTTATTTATTTTTGAGACAGAGAGAGACAGAGCATGAACGGGGGAGCGTCAGAGAGAGAAAGGGAGACACAGAATCGGAAACGGGCTCCAGGTTCTGAGCCATCAGCACAGAGCCTGATGAGGGGCTTGAACTCACGAACCGTGATATCATGACCTGAGCCAAAGTCAGACGCTTAACCGACTGAGCCACCCAGGCACCCCCATATTATTATTTTTTAATGTCTATTTGTTTTTGAGAGAGACAGAGTGCAAGCAGGGGAGGGGCGGAGAGAGAGGGAGACACAGAATCTGAAGCAGGCTCCACACTTAGCGCAGAACCTGACTCAGGGCTCAGTCTCACGACCCTGGGATCATAACCTGAGCCGAAATCAAGAGTCGGACACCCAACTGACTGGGCCACCCAGGCGCTCCGGTATTTTGTGTTCATAATGTAAAGGATTCTTTCACATCTTTAAAACCTAATAATGTAATAATGTAAAGTGTCCGCTGGAAAGAAGGGTACGTTTCAGCGTTTCCATGTCCAGTGTTACATGTTGGCTAGAACAGATCTAGGTTTTGCACGCAGTCTGGAGTTGATATAATTTGGAGGACACGTCTTTAAGAAAAATAATAAAACTTAAATTTAGGACCTTGGAAGAGACCCAAGTAGTGGTGGCGGTCTTGAAATCTAAGCTTCATGGTTTCCCAGTAAATTTGTAAACCCGCCCGGGATTACGACTAATTGCCTAAATGACCACTGGAATCTAGAAGCCAGAGTCTCAGGGGAGGGCTGAACTGCTCACTCCTGGCGGGGGGTGGGTGGGAGGGGGGGGGGGGGGGGGTGCAACAGGGCAGTAGAATAAAGCCCCCGGAACCTAAAATGTACAAGTGATAAACCATAAATACAGTGAACCCTCTCTCTGACCCCAGTGTCCAAGTCAGGGTCTGCAAAGAGGAAGGCTCTCCAGACGTGTCTGGAGCCTAGCGCTGGGATACAGTGTGAGTGTGAAACACGTGTGCTCAAGTGGCCTACAATTGCCAAAAACACCTGCTTCAGGTTTAGAATTTGCGATCTGATTTCTGGAACTTAATAAAGTTGGTAGGCTGGACACAACACTCTCACCTGAGACAGAGGAACAAGAGAGTAGGTCCCCAGAATGCACATAACACAGTCTTATCTTTTCCCGAATTGGAAGGCATGCTGTTCTGTGGGAGAACAGTCTAAAAGATGACCTGGAACTTGTCATCCAAAGTGCAGCACTTTAAATGTTTTTTTTTTTTTTTACGTTTATTTATTTTTGAGACGGAGAGAGACAGAGCTCTGTTCTTAATCCCCTCTGTTCTCCTCCCATGATGGGGGAGGGTCAGAGAGAGAGAGGGAGACACAGAATCCAAAACGGGCTCCAGGCTCTGAGCTGTCAGCACAGAGCCCGACGCGGGGCTCGAACTCACGGACCGCGAGATCATGTCCTGAGCCGAAGTCGGACGCTTAACCGACTGAGCCACCCAGGTGCCCCCAAAGTAGAGCACTTTTAGATGGTGGACCCTATTCCACCAGATGCAAACTGGAGATAATAACCACACCTTCTGCATAGGGTCGTTGCCAAGAATAAATACAATAACACATGTGAGGGTTGTGGCGTGTGTAAGTGCTCACTCCAGGCTCACTCCAACACCAGCACGTTAGTCAATTACTTCTAGAGAAGTCGTATCTCTAGGACGATACTTACCCTGCTAGATCAAGAACATGGATTGTTGGGATTACATTTGTTCCATCTCCAAACACTGGCAACGCAGGGACCTCACCCAACCAAGCCATCTAAAAGAAAAGCAAAAGCGTATTTTCCCTGGTTATACATAACTATTATGGCTCACACACACAGCCATAGTCAGGGGCATCCGAAAGACCCACTTATCTGATGAAGTCATCGCCTAAGGGGATGTTTTGAAAATCAGTTCTTTCTTTTTTTTATTAAAAAAAATTGTTTTAATGTTTATTTATTTTTGAGAGAGAGAGAGAGAGAGAGAGAGAGAGAGAGAGCAGGGAAGGGGCAGAGAGACAGGGAGACACAGAATCCGAAGCAGCAGGCTCCAGGCTCTGAGCTGTCAGCATGGAGCCTGATGGGGTCTTGAAGTCACAAGCTGTGTGATCATAACCTGAGCCGAAGCTGGACGCTCAACAGACTGAGCCACCCAGGCACCCCTGAAAACCAGTTCTGATGGGATTTAGTTGCTGATCGAGTCCTATTAAGAGAAATAGTGTAACCTCAGGGCTGAAATACTTTACAAGAAATCTCTTTCCTGGCTCTCTTCAGGAGTCATCTGCGTGGCGTCTATACAGAAAGGAAACGTTTTCATATGCGTGACACCTTCCACTCTTACCAAAAAATGTGAATTCAAGTCTAAAATTCCTTCCACAGGGCCAGGGGTAATTAGTATCAGTTCATAGATGAAATGCTTAGTTGATAAAGTATTCTGCAGGAGGCTACATTTCTGATGAGTTAGGGAGTCTGGATTTGAACCCTGGTCTTCAGGGTCCAAGTCCTTGTCTTTTCCCTGCATTAGGTATTTCAGTAAACAGACAGTCTGGGTATTGTTCAGCTGTCAGGTACTGCTCCAAACTGTCATTGCAGAGCCCAATGTGGGCCTCAATCTCACGACCCCGAGATCATGACCTGAGCTGAAATTGAGAGTCAGACACTTAACCGACTGAGCCACCCAGGAGCCCCTTAAGTGACTTTTAAACAGTCAAAGAGGTAGGCGTGGGGGCCACAGCAAACCACTGGATCTTGTAAGATATTTTGGACTCTGCAAAACCACTGAAGAACTTTAAGCAGTAGACCGTTGAATTTGAAGCAGTAAACCACCGAAGAATTGACATCAGATTTGCTTTTGTTGCCACTAGCAAGAATGATGGGGATTAAGAGTTGAAACGGGAAGGTGGAGGTCAGGACAGTTGTGCAGACAAGAGATGTCTGCCCTCCCCAGCCCGTGGGTGGAGGACTGGGGGAGCGCGGTTGGAGAGAAGGGAGATACTGGGGAGGTTGGCTCTACAGTACTGGGGGGTTTCGTGATGGATGAGAAGGAGGGAGGGGTTGGGTTGTGGTTGGTGCGGCTGGGTGGAAGAAGGTCCCATTTTCGGAGATGAGGTCCTATAGGAACGGCAGGTTTGGGGGTGACCGTAGGTGGAGTTTGGGTTTGTGAACCATCCAAAGTGAGGTGTCGAATAAATAGGCAGCCAGATGTACAGAGCTAGGACTAAGGAGAGAGCCCTGCTGGAGAAACTTACGTTTGAGAGTCATTGGCCCCAGTCACGGGAATGGACAGACCCACCCAGGGAAAGAGTGTAGACAGAGAAGACCAGAGGGTCTGGGGCAGGAACCTGAGAAAGCCAACATTCAGTGGTCAGGTGGGTGAGGGGTAGCTGAGAACCGATAAGGAGAGACTACAAATGGACATCATCACCTACCATTGTCCCACACTTCGGCCCCACGCAGCTTTTTGCTGTCCCTTAACACAGCCCACACATTGCTGCCTCCGGTCTTCGTGCTTACAGTTCCCGCTGCCTTTCCCCCAGAAAGCGAAGGAGCCGCCTCCCTTTTCACTTCCTGCTCACATGTCCCCTCATGAGAAAGGCTTTCCCCGACCATCATATCCAAGATACAACCTCCTAGCCCTACCGCCGGCTCTCTTTCTGCCTTTCTCTGCTTTGTTGCTTTCCATTTTGTTTTTCAACAGCTGAAGTACTCAACGTGTACTGGCTAATTTGGCCCTTGCCTACTACTCTCCTCCTCTTCCCCAGTGGAATCCAAGCCCCACAAACGCAGGGATTTTATTTTATTTTTTATTTATTTATTTATTTATTTTAATTTTCATTTTATTTTTATTTTTTATTTATTTATTTTTATTTTTGGGACAGAGAGAGACAGAGCATGAACGGGGGAGGGGCAGAGAGAGAGGGAGACACAGAATCGGAAACAGGCTCCAGGCTCCGAGCCATCAGCCCAGAGCCTGACGCGGGGCTCGAACTCCCGGACCGCGAGATCGTGACCTGGTTGAAGTCGGACGCTCAACCGACTGCGCCACCCAGGCGCCCCAACGCAGGGATTTTATTACGGCATCGGATTCCCCGAATCTACAATGGTTTCCGGCCCATGGGAGGCATCGACGTTTGTCTCATGAATGAAAGGAGATCCATCTTGTTCCCTTATTATGCCGAGAGAGTGGTAAATACGAATTGTTAGTAACAGGAAAGGAAAATAGAAAAAAAAAATCTTCAAATTGTATAACCTTATGGTAAAATGCTTTAAAAAAAAAACTTCAGTCATTGAAAACTCATACCTTGAAAAAATAATGTAAGATGCCTCCTTCCACTCCATACTGAAGTCCAGCAGCAACCACGTAAGTCGCAAATTTTTTGACCTATTAGATAAAGTACAGGAGAAAAGCTAAATGTAATATTATTAATCATACCAAACCAGATTATTTTCGTGGTTAGAATGAGTACTATATGAATGCTTCTGACCACTATTAAAATTGATGTGGTACATTTTTTTAAGTTTATTTATTTATTTTGAGAAAGAGAGAGATCGAGCGTGAGCAGGGGAGGAGCAAAGACAGAGAGAGACAGAGACAGAGACAGAGATAGAGACAGAGATAGAGAATCCCAAGCAAGCTCCACACTGTCAGCACAGAGCCTCACGAACTAGGAGATCATGACCTGAGCCAAAACAAGAATCAGATGCTTAACTGACTGAGCCACCCAGGTGCTCTGGGACTTTTTTTTTTTTTTTAATTTTTTTTTTTTTAACGTTTATTTATTT